ATTGCTTCACAGAATTTGTGAATTAAGCAAGAAAATTCAATACTGTTTTGAAGTTAGAAAAACCCTATATTAAAAAAGAAAATATAATATAAATACGTCATATCTATACAGCCACCCACATTTATGTCATCTGGGGCTAATGCATTAAATATTATATGCCTCCTTTGACTACTATTTGCTTCCCTCCATTTTTACATGTTGCATGTAAAAGCCCAAAACCACAGTTATATATTAAAACAATGATGGAATCCATTTATTCTCTTTCAGTTACATGGGTTAATTTGTACTCAAATTATGAAAACGGCTTTATTATATTATTAAGAACTTAACCCAGTGTTTCAGAATCAGGCTTTTCAGGTTATTGTCAGAACTTGAAATATTACTGATAATTGCAGGTCTTTGGAGTAAGAAGAAAACAAATAATCATCAACAACAAAAACTAAGACAATATCATCTTTGGTAACCAGAAGATTTACAGAGATGAAAAAATCCCATTTCTAAGGAAACAGCATAAAATTTTCTGCAAAAGTTGAATCATCAGTCAAAGATTCAAAAGAAGACTCAAACTAAAAGGTTAGAAAAAATATAAGTGCAACTTTGATAAAGGACATTTATTGTCCTGATTATTTATTTTGTACATGCCCTTCAGAGTCATTTCACATTCCTGGTACGCTATTCTAGTACACTGATTCTCCTACTCAGAAGACATCCATTGTTTTCAAAAAGTAGCTTGCACATTCATTTTCAAATTCCAGGCATCTGAGGCAACACTGATGCTGAAATCTGGGGTGAACCAACATTCAGAATTTCTAGTCTACTAATACAAAAATAAAATATTTTCCTTCCCTCTGTAAACTCGGATCGCATGCACACTGTGACACTGCTAAACTAAAATGTTATTTTCTTCTGGATAGTCCTCAGAACTGGCAAGAGTAGTGGAATTTCTCTCTAAATAGGTACAGCCCAGTATAGCAATACTATTTATCAGATTCAGAGCATATTAGGAATTTTAAATCATCAATTTTTAGAGTTCTACCCTACAAAATGTTCCTCTGCTGTACATTTTCTGTCCTGATCCACACTAGTAATCTGTTAGATCTACTTACTAGCTCATAGCTTGGGTGACGAGACAGCAAAGTTGGGAAGATCTACTGAGAAGACAGGAAGGGCAGTATGAGAGAGGAGCAGGAGTGAACATATACAATATAGAGGGTAAAAGAGAGATTGAAAATCAGTGGCAATGGACTACTGTCAATGGAATGCAGAGGATAAAGGGGAAAGAATTTAAGAGGTGCCATGAAAAGGCAGTCACGGGAACTAAAAGTAAAGAGAAAACGGAAGAAAAGTATCACAGGAGTCTGAAAAGGAAGAAGAGGATGAAAAAAACTAGAGATTACTGAAGAAAAGGTAAAGCACCAGACAGAAAGTGACAAGAGCAAAGAGGAAGCTGGAACAAGGAAGAAACAAAAATGCAAGAAATGTGCAAGGGACAAACAAATGTAAAATAAAGATAGCATGAGAAGACAGCCTAGGAAAATGAGAACTTGTAATTACTGATTTAGAAACTAGCTCTCATCTACAGCTATTTGTTATATCGTCTTAATTCATTCTGCTCTGCTATGGACAAGCTTCTCCGCTGTTGTTTTGCACTGCACTGGAGTGCAGTTACCACTGCTGGTTACAACAGCTCATAGTCAGCAACTGATACCTTCAAACACTCTTTTTAAAAAGTATATATTAAAAGCCTGCTCTTGAAAACTTGACTCCTAAGAGGTAGTTTGGTGCCCCTGCAATCCCCTGCCTGTTTCAACAATCTTCCCTCATAAACATTCCCCTTATTCTAAAAAGGGATAATTATCCCTATTCTATATTCTGCGCTTGGTTGCAAAAGAGCCGCTTTGTTTTCTTGGTGTCGTGCAAGAGAACTGAAAATGTAATTTTCCTATTGTAATGAAACGAAAACAATGAGCAGAGGAAAAAGTCAGCTGCCTTAGGAAAAATTTACAAGGCACAATAAATGAGTTTAGTCCATGCCCCAGAGGATAAGCAAAAAAACCCCCAAAAAATCAATATACAGTTCAGTTTTAAAGCTGTGGCAAAACACACTAGGTAACTTTATTTGAACTACACTGGTGATATGTGCCTAGCCAGCTGGTGACAAACGCTGCTTTTCTGTTGACTCTCTCTTCTCCTTGCTTCTCTCCTCCCATTCCATGTCCCCGCCCCTACCATGCATCTTTCTTCAAAACCCCCTTCGTTTTACACTGCTCCCTGTTAAGGAACAGCATGTACATTTTTGTTTGAAATGGTTTCTGGTGGTTTTGGACTCCCGGATGGACACAGTCAAACATGTGAGCACAGCTCAGCACCATCTTCACTGACTAGCCAAATCATGTCAGAAACTATTTCAGCTGGAACCAAGTTTGAAATCAGGTCTTTAACACAGTTTAGCTGGGCCAGAATCTCAGAGATCTTTCCCTTTTATTGTCCCTTTAAAGCCTCCAGTCCCTTCCTCAACATCCAGCATTGCAGCCATCACCCTTCCATGTGAAGAACTCCACACTGCAGGCCTTGTCGATTCTGTTTCTGTACCAGACAGGAGGTCAGTGATAAACACTTCTCCCTTCCCTTGGGGTTGCCAGATAGCACTCTGAATCTTTGCCGGTCAGCAGAGTGATGGACTGAGAATCATTAATATTTATGTGTATAAGAGGAAAGTGTATCCATTTCCCATTAATTTTATTTCAAAATTTCTCTATAGTGCTACAAAGAACCACCATTGAAAAAGACCCATTGAGCCTTTACACTATTTTTACATCCAATTTTTTTTTTTAAACACAGTAAATATTTACATTTCTAATAAGGCTTCTCTATGTTCCAAAGTTTTATCATTTTAACTAAACTGGTGTAATTATAATAGGAAAACCTCTACAGTATGAAAAAAAATGATAGTACTGTACAATTGCTCATACTGGCAAACATAACTGACACAGAAAGTGTAATAAACTATAATAGTTTAAGGTTCCTCTACACCAGTCTGACTGTCTCTAAACTAGAGGTGGTATAACTAGTTTAGCTTTAAAAAAAAAATGAAAGAAATAAAAAGTAGGGAAAAAATCATGGCCCCACCCAAAAGAGAGCAGTACAAAATTTGTTTGTAGACCATGCCCAACAGTACCTGGAAAATGTGGCTTTTCCTCAAGTTACCACTTTCACACCATACGTTATTTTAGTTTATACTTTTGCTTTTTTTTAAATAATTCATTAACCCTAGTATAATTCTCCATTGTATCTGAAGTACAAAACTGTATGTAAGCCCTCCCCTCACGTTACCAGTTAATATAATAATTTAGTAATATGCCTGCATAGACCAGAACTTGCATATTAGAGAAACAAACTAATGTGTAAAAATGCATGCATTATTCTTTTACTGTATGGCCTATCCCTATTACGAAATAAACTAAATTTACCCATTTTTAGCAAATGCATCCCTTAAATCAACGAAAAAACTAGTATGTCACACACACACAACAACGCACTTTGTAGACATTTGTCAAATACTGCAATGCCCATACTAAGGCAACACATCCCAGCAGTTGGCAGCCATGCTATCGGCAAGAATTTGGCTACAGAATCAGCAGTGATTCATCATACATTCTAGAAGCACTGTTGAAGCAGCAAAATAGCACACTGCTATTTTAATCCTTTAAAGCTAGCAATAATCTTCTAAAAAAATATTAAAAACTGGTCTCAGTAAATTCAAAATAAGAAAAAAAAAATTGAAGGTTCTGGTAAAACATTTCAAAATGGATTTTTATTTATGACTGCTAAGCGGTCTCAATAGCAACACTTTCAAAAAAAAAAAAAAGTTTAATAAATGTTAAACGTTTTCTATAAAACAGGAAAAGCAGCTAGTCACTTACCTCATTACCCTGTAAATTTAAGATTTAAAATTGTGGTAGTCTTATAGCAGAACTACAAATAAAAAAATAACCCGATTAAAAATATTTTGAATTAGTTTAGAAGATAAGTCAAAGAAATGTTTTTGTAGAGGTTTTGGAGTAAACACCAATGTAGAGCAGCCATGTTTTTATGGATCTTTTTCCACTACAAATGGAAGATGCTTTCAAAGTGCACATTAAAAAGTATCAGCAATGTGTAGTGAAAATATTTATTTCTGTACTTTTATTAGTCTCACTTGCCCGTGAGCACCGATTACTTTTTTTATTACCCTATCCTGAAGAATTTAAAAAAAAAAAAGCATTTTCTAACTGACCGTAGCTGAACTTCTTTTCGCAATGGCAAATAATAGGGCAGGAACTGTCAATAACCTTTCAAGTACTACTGTATTTTCTAAAAGAAGTGTTCAGATCTTTCCTTCTCAAAATGCCTGTGTTAAACAGAAATGTAGTTTTTATCTCAACTGATTATGGAATTCCGTAGATTATGTATTTCTTTACATAGCAAATATAGAGAGAGGCATTAAAATTTTTTCTTGTGCGTGGTGTTTTAAGTACCCAGTCAGCGCAGCTTATGAATGTTTCTTTTCAGCTCTGTGAAGTGTCCCGTGAAAGCATTTAGGATGTACCACCTCTCTTCCTATTATATAAGTACACATCAAGAGCCCGTACCTTCTGGAAAGCCACTTCATCCTGACCCCTCTTCCTTTTGCTGCCTTTTCTGGCTCTCTGGTTTACTTGAATCCATTTTGCAACCTGCAGTTCAAAACCACAGTGCTTTTTAAAGAGGAAAAGATGTGACCTGAGTGCAGCTACTCAGCATGAGTAAGAAACTATAAGCAGAGTCAAGGCACAGTTTTCCATTGCTTCATGGGGGGGGGGGGGAATCCCACTTTTCCAGTCTAGAATGACAGGCTCTTAGGTAATCCAGTTAGTCGCTTATGCATGGTCAAACTAGGTTTTCTTCCTTCATCTCCTACAGTGACTTTTCCTTCCTTTTTTTTAACCTCTCTAATGCAACCTCACTGTCGAGCTTAAGTATTTTAAGCATCAAGAAAAGACACGGCTCATGCCGTGAAGTAGCAACCCTCTCGCTGGTGCGTGCCCAGACCCTACGAAAAAAAGCCTCCGCTGCTTGCAGAGGGATGTCCAGCCAGCCACCCACCCGCTCAACCCTTACTCCCGGGTGGCAGCGCCAACTTTCAGCGAGCAGGCGCACCTCTGCGCAAGAAGTAACACGGGGGGCTGGGGACTAGTCCTCTGAGCAATGCCTTTTCCTTAGGGGTGAGGTGGGGGGGACCTGGGAGGAGGCGGAAAGGGGCAACAAAGCACAGACAGCCACTAACTGCAGAAGCCCGGGTCTCTCCTCACCTCGGCAGTCACTTGCTGGACGAGGCGACCCTCCTTCCAAGTGCGACTCTCTTCCAGCAGAGGCTACAGGGAAGGGAGACATAAAAGGGCAGGTTTACTCGGGCTTCCTAGGTTGCAGCTTGGGTGCAAAGAGGCTCCCCGCTTCTCACATCCCTCCCTCCTTCCCAGCCCCCGGCATCGGATGCAAAACTTTGCCATGTCCCGGCGGGCTGGCGGCGCGGGCTCGCCCCCTCCCCA